GTGTGTGTGTGTGTGTGTGTGTGTGTGTGTGTGTGTGTGTGTGTGTATTTTTAGTCGTTTATCACAGGAAATGTTTAATACAGGAACACTCATGAAGCATTGTACTACAAACACAAGTAGCATAAATGAAGTTGAGTTTTATCATCATGTTTGTTATAAATCATAGTTCTGTGTTAAAARATCCAAACCCACTGGTACCAGTTCTTATTTTGATTGTTTCTGGGGACATTTATATTTATATTTTGTATTTGAAGGCACAGGATGCAGTAAAACTGAACAGTTTCTGWAGCGTTTGTTGCTGATGTGTGTAGTGTTGACTTGTTTTTGTGTGTTTGCTGCAGTGTGTCTGTGCTGATCTTCAACACCTCCTCACACTGTTTCATCCTGGTCAAGCAGTTCCGTCCAGGTACGTGTCCTTTCTGCATGAAGAAGGTGAAGTTTAGGCTGTAAAACCTCCTGAATAAATCCAACACAAACTGTTCAGTGAACTGAGTTGTTGAAATGTAGACTCACAAATAGACCCACCCAGCCCCCCATCACAGCACAAAGCAGCTTCATGTCCTTTGTTAAAAGTGGCCAGAGGCTGTTTTCTCACTGCAGAGAGCTAAATTGAAGGAAGTCTGGGCCTCAGTAGACTTTTCTCCTCCCTTCATTCTAAATGTTGACAGGAGGAAAATGGCACCAGTAAAGAGTTGTTTTAACTGGAGGTTTGTAACGAACACGTCTCCTTGGGTTTCCTCCCACAGCCGTGTACATGTGCGAGTGGGAGAAGACCAAGACCCCTCAGCCCGCCGAAAAGGCCGAAGAGGGCGAAGCCTCGGAGTCTCAGGAGGCTCAGCCGGCCTCGGCGGAGGAGAGCTCGTCCCAGTGGCCCCCGGCCTCGGCGGGGGTCACCTACGAGCTCTGCGCCGGCCTGGTGGACAAACCGGACCTCTCCCTAGAGGAGATCGCACGGCAGGAGGTGCTGGAGGAGTGCGGTTACGACGTGCCTGCTTCCAAACTGAAGAGGATCACTTCCTACAGGTGAGCTCCTTGTCCTGATAACCCTGAGGTCTGGTCCTGGTCCTGGTCCTGGTCCTCCCAGTCCCACATGGGACTGAAGCACCTGGACAGGTGTGTCTGAACGTCTCATGTGTGTTTTTGGTCTGACTCCAGCTCTGTTGGTGTTGTCTAAGACTGTTMTTATGTGTGGGCTGCTTCTGCTGCTCAGACCTGTATCACCTTCACCCACATCAGAACCATAAGGGTCTTTCTGACTCAAGACCTCCACAAGACCTCCACAAGACCNGCTGCTTCTGCTGCTCAGACCTGTATCACCTTCACCCACATCAGAACCATAAGGGTCTTTCTGACTCAAGACCTCCACAAGACCTCCACAAGACCCTCACAAGACCTCCACAAGACCTCCACAAGACCCCCATAAGACCTCCATAAGACCCCCATAAGACCTCCACAAGACCTCCTCAAGACCTCCTCTAGACCTCCACAAGACCTCCTCAAGACCTCCATTAGACCTTCACAAGACCTCCACAAGACCTCCACAAGACCTCCACAAGACCTCCAAAAGACCTCCTCAAGACCTTCTCAAGACCTCCATGAGACCTCCTTAAGACCCCCTCAAGACCCCCACAAGACCCCCACAAGACCTTCACAAGACCTCCTCAAGACCTCCACAAGACCTCCACAAGACCTCCACTAGACCTCCACAAGACCTCCATAAGACCTCCACTAGACCTCCACAAGACCTCCATAAGACCTCCACTAGACCTCCACAAGACCTCCTCAAGACCTCCATTAGTCCTTCTCAAGACCTCCACAAGACCTCCACAAGACCTCCTTAAGACCTCCAAAAGACCTCCTCAAGACCTTCTCAAGACCTCCACTAGACCTCCACTAGACCTCCACTAGACCTCCACAAGACCTCCACTAGACCTCCACAAGACCTCCTCAAGACCTCCATTAGTCCTTCTCAAGACCTCCACAAGACCTCCACAAGACCTCCTTAAGACCTCCAAAAGACCTCCTCAAGACCTTCTCAAGACCTCCACTAGACCTCCACTAGACCTCCACTAGACCTCCACAAGACCTCCACTAGACCTCCACAAGACCTCCATTAGACCTTCTCAAGACCTCCACAAGACCTCCACAAGACCTCCACTAGACCTTCACTAGACCTTCACTAGACCTTCACAAGACCTCCTCAAGACCTCCAGAAGACCTCCTCAAGACCTCCACAAGACCTCCACAAGACCTCCTCAAGACCTCTACAAGACCTCCTCAAGTCCTCCACAAGACCTCCTCAAGACCTCCTCAAGACCCCCACAAGACCTCCTCAAGACCTCCACAAGACCTCCTCAAGACCTCCATAAGACCTCCTCAAGACCTCCACAAGACCTCCTCAAGACCTCCACAAGACCTCCGTGTTACAAACTGAGGAGCGTCACACTTTGGAAACGCTTCACAACACTGGAGCAAATGGAGAATTCTAAAAATGAAGCTGTGCTTTAAAGGAGGCTCACTAGATGAACATTATTATTTGATAAACATTTACTTAAACTATAAAAACTAGACTGTAAAAATACTGTAGGCTGTGTAGCAGAGGTATATAAAGTACTAAGTAAAAGTAAAAATACCTTAACAGAAAATGACTTCAGTAAAAATGAATTTCACTGATAAGGAAAGTACTTATATAAAAGTAAAAAACAAACAAAAGTTGAGTAGATCCTCTGGATGAAGATTACATTTTTGAAAAAAATGTCTTGTCTCCAACAGACCAAGCAGTATTTTCACATTGTTGACAAACAAATCAGCACTGAGAGTCTAAACAGTTTGTTTACATGCAGGAGACCATCAACCAAACTATCGTTAGAGCCCTGAAATAAAGCCATAAAACTGTTCACAATAATTGTGATAATAGCTACCAGGCTAATGCTGTTAGCTCGTGAGTTACCTCTATTAATATTAGCTCATGAGCTAACTCTAATAATATTAGCTCGTGAGCTAACTCTAATAATATTAGCTCGTGAGCTAACTCTAATAA